TGTGCCACCAGAAAGCGGTAGATGAGATCCATGCAAATTAATATTGGGTGTAGCCTTGCTGTTTTTTTTTCTTAGAAAAGGAGGATGACCCCCGGCCTCTGCATCTGGGTGATGCATACGGCCACTTTATTAATTATTCTCACAAGACCTTACAAAATCAATACAATAGTAAGATTAAGGCCGTCGTCTAAACAACAAACTTTCGCTACACCTATCCAGTTGATGAAGGGGCACAGATAGCCTGGGCCTAATACCAAACAGACATCGCAGCCAAGCCTAACATCTAAGACCTGAGACCCCAACCTAGCCACTTGCCGGGCCTGGAGCACACACTGGTCCAGCGTGCTCTCAGAGGCCGCCGCCGCCAACTGCCACCGTTCCATCTTCAGAACTGTACTGATGCAACAACCTTGCTCGGTCCAGCTATCGTCGACGCCACCACGGCGCCAAACGGCACCTCCTCCCTACGCGCAAACAACTGAACATGTCGCGGTCTCCACTGATACACCTCAGCGCCATGGTGCCAAGTATCACCAGCCGACACAGCTTGAAATCTTTGGAGGATCTGTCGTGCGTAGCACCTGCCGACCAGGCATGACCAAGCATAGCACCTGTCGGTCAGGCATGACTTGACATCTCCACCGAAACTCCGTGCAAGACGAAGCCGCTCCACCTCCTGCCTCTGACTTCCAGCGCTGCTCCACAAACGATGCTCCCAAGAAAAAAAGACACAAAAGTCAACCTGCTGGCCAGACAAATACACAAAAGTCCCCCACTCTTGTCAAGACACTAATTTACATCCAGACTAATTAGCCAGGGGATCCTTGTCACCTCCGATGCCTTGTAGTAGTAGAAAGTGGAGGTGACATAAAGATCTTCCTGGCCAGCTCCTCCCCCGCCGTTCCATGCACCATTGAAGGTGCAATTTTTTGTTTCGCAGGGCACATTGAACTTCATTGCTCTGATGACGTCCTCTCGTTACCTGTCATACTATGCTCCTTAAGGTCACCCTATGGCGTCGTATTGCTCTCCGTTGTACGTGTATTTTCCTTTAAGGATAAATATATATACTCACTTCGTCCCAAAATAAAGTCGAGACACTTATTTTGGGACGGAGGGAGTATATTAAATGGACAGATAGTATATTTGATTACGTACTTACTCAACTAATTTCAGAATGTGTTACTCGATGTAATTACCATTACGTACCACTAAATCCAGGCAGCATGCACTAGCTGAATGGTCTATTATTTGCCTTGAAGATCTCTACTCGAGCCCAAAAATATGAGTCAACATGAACCAACTGAAATTTTTCTAATATCTAGTTTATCAAAATTGAGTGCCAAGAAAGTAGAGCCTGGTATTGGTAAAGTGTGAGAGGACGCAACCATATCTCCCAGCTTCAGAACAAGTTTTGTCTTTAAGCCAAAGTAAACAGATTTTGGCTTGACATTTGCAATCGTACAAAATCATTCATCCATCTATAGCTAGCCTTTCCCACTATGTGGCAAAAAATATTGTTGGGGAAAACAAGCACATTACAGACAATGGTTGCTTCTTTACAGAAAGATAATGGATGTGCCAGAAACA